CGCTACAGAGAGAGAGAGAGATGATCCTAGGCTCTTGCGGTGCCTTAAGGTCAAAAGAGAAGTTGGAAATCCTAAGGAGATTTATTGTGCATCTTGGTGGGTATATGTACAAAGTTGGCTTGTCATATTTTATCAACAAAAAGTGTAAATATCAAAGTTGTCTGTCTCAAATGTACTGATTAAAAAACAAGGTTATACAACACTGATTTGCTAATTATCTGAAAACAACCTTTCAGTTCAATAGCTTCCTCTGTGCGTATTAATATTTTATACAGAAGTGTTATATAATAGACATTTTGTCATCTTTGCAGTCTTGCGCAGAGGAGTACGTTGTCAGGCTCACGTCATTTGGATTGTTTGGTATAAATTTGTCTGCTAATCCAGTGCAAATGTCAGTGAATGGTTAAAAAATGTCCATCTTGCATATTTGTATATGCCGGTTTGTGTACAGATCACGGAAAGGGAGGATAGGAACTACTCTGATTTGACAATCTTGGTGTTAAAGCTTGGGCCAGACGTGTGGAAGGTAACGCACTGTCCTGTTTTGTTCTCAGGCACCAATATGGTTACAACCACTTTCTGCATGCATTAGCAATTGCCTTCATCAAAGATGCACAGAGGAAGCAGACTTCACTCTTAATCTAACTGGTGTTTAAAAATACAAACTCAGAAATGTGCATACAGAACTCCTCTGAACGGCTGCCATCCAGAGATGTCCATGCCCATGGACTGTAATTAAATTGAGAAATAAAACCTAAACTACCTTAGCCTGGAAGAGGAACTGACGAAAGGGAAATACAACTTTTGGGGCTTTTTTTTTCTTTTTTTTCATTTTTTTTCTTTTTTTTTTTAACATAACACTTACTGTTTTAGTAATTCATATTAAACTCCTTCACTGCTTTACCATGTTGGCTTTGTTAGCAGAGGGAAAGGGCAGACGGGCTCGATAGCTTTGTGTGTCCCCTGCCCCCGTCTCCATCCCTCTGACAATAAACCCGTTGGCTCTTGCAGCGAGGAAGCAGAGGAACGCAGGCAACAAGCATGTGTTGATGCTGCAGAAGTTGCGAGGTTAGGCAGTGCTCGTGCCCCACTGGAAAGCGGGTAGGAAAGAGTCAGGCAAGAGAATAGCGGGAGAAGAGTGGTTCTTGAGGAGGAAGAAGGGAGGAGAAAAAGGAAAGAGACAGAAGTGGGTGTGATAAAACAGGAAAATGAAAAATGAGGTGATTTGGGCAAGACTCTATTTCTACTGGTTAATATTTGTGGTTACATTTTGCATGTGTGTGTTTTCAGTGTAGTTTGATTTAGGATGTGTCTATATTGAAGGAGGAGTGTCCTGATTAGCATCAGTCCGTTGAACCGAAACAGATTATAAGGACAGAAATTATCTGGCTCAGGGTTACAGGAAAACAAAAATGGTGAAGTGTACAGTAAAGCCAGAAAATAAAAACATGAAGGAAGCAGGCAAAAACCTAAAAGAAAATAGTAATATTGTGGCAAGCGAAAGGAGATAGCAAAACTGTTGAGATAAGTGTGAGTAAAAATAAAAGCTGAAAGCACGAGCTTGTGTGCGCTGTTCTGCCCGCGCAGAGCGCCTGAATTCTGTCCCGCTGAGGCGTCTCCTCTCCGGAAACGGCTTTCGCCCTCAGCGTCCCAGGGCCGACCGACTTCTGCTAGTTCAAAGCGAGTCTGAAAACACGTTGCAAAAACAGTGCAGGGCCAGGCCTGGACGTCCGTGTTCGTTACGGCAGGCGGGACGGGCAGCTGTAAGGGTGCAGGGCGCGGGCCAGGGGCTCTGCCGAGAGCAGCGCTGCGGGGCTTCCCGCCGGCAGCCTGGTTTCCAGGCCGGAGCTCGGGTTTGCTCCCGCCGGCCGCTGTGGAAAGGGGAAGCGGCGCCGTCCTCGCCTGGCGCGGGGGGCGAGCGCCCTTGTGGTGGGCTCGCAGCGGCTTAAGCTGATTGTGAAACCTCACCCGGCAATAGCAGCAAAATCTCCGATTTGTCGGGTTACGTTGCGTTGTGCTTTTGATAATGCTTCTATGCCAGCTTGGGTTTTCCACCTGTCTCAATAGCGTGATGTTTTCCCTGTGTGGCATTTTGCTGTTTTTTTTTTTTCCTCATGCCACAGTAAGAGAGGGAGATGGCATTTTAGCCAAAGTGACTGTCAGGTGTGTACTGCCGGCTGTGTACTTGGAGATAAATGCAGGACCGAGAATTATTCAGTTGTGTTGAAATTAAGCTTCTAATGATGAAGTTATTCACTGAGTTCCCTCTCCCACCAAGATCTCTACTTAGTCCCCAAAATACTATGATTTCCCTCCCTGTCCTTCCTTTACAGTGACTTTGTAATCGTTTGGCCTGCGAGTGTGTCATCTGATTTTTCTCTCCGCTGGCAGTGATTGTTTCCCTGCTAAACACAACAGAAGCAGTGTTTTGATCAGCGGAAAAAATGTCTGATCGCCTATGGAGAGGAAGGCAGGCACGTGTAGGCTACAGTATATAGGACGTGGCCATTTGGAGGTTGCACGTGTTATGCCTGAAGTGCCAAATGCCTGGCTGTGGTTCAGATAAAATTGGCGTCTGATGCCATCACCTCAGCATAAATGAAAAATCTTTAGCTGCCTGAAAGAACAGAGAAGGATTAAGGAGAGTACGTGCCAGAGGAGGATGGATTATAAGCAAATTGATGCATTTGTTCGTTATTTAACATCCTTTATTCCAACTATTCCACATGCTGGCTCTGGTAAAGAGTGGGTGTGTATTCCTTGTATCAGAGCAGATGTTTCTGCAAATAAGACATTGCTTTGTTTTAGTAAGTGAAGTTGTCACCTCTACAGCGGGAGGGGGAGCTAATGGCAGAAACTCATAGAGAGAAATTGCATATGGCATTTGGAACAAAATCCAGGAGGTTTTCTGTGGCAAGAACTGCAGGGAAAATGCCTTCGCTGATCTTGGCTTTACCCAGACGCTGATACTTACTCATGCACTGATATCGTTTATATGAGGATGTCTTCTTTAGCCTTTTTTTTTTTTTTTTTTTTTAAACTTTATCCTCAGGAGTGATTTTTGTCATTTGTTTGCCCTCACCCCCCCCCTCCAGGTACGCTCTGTCTCATACGCATACACACTCAGTTTCTTCTTGGAAAGGTGAGGATGGTGGTGATGCGCCTCAGTCCTTTCAGCAGTCTGTCAGGTTGAGACAGAGTGCTGGGAGACATGTCCTTCCTTGTCTCCAGCGTCTCATCAAGCCTGGTGGTAGCGCTCAGCATAAGCCAGTAGCTCCATCTCCCTTGCTTGAAGGCTGATCCATCTTCATAAACGGCAGCACTCCTACTTTGGCAGTGGGAACTGCCTTTGCCATCTGTTTCCAGAAACTGTTGTCTTTGGGATGGCCACAGAGGAGCGAGTGGTGGAAGGGTATGGAAAAGCTCTGCCTAGGCCCCTCTCATGTGCATCTCTGACCTTGTAAGAAAAAGTTACAGAAACAGCCGAGGTGAATGGCCCTGTGGCTATTGGAGCGTTTTCTGTCAGAGCTCAAGTAGGATCCAAAGGTCTGCTTGGAAATCCGCCCCCGATAGACTCGCCTGGAAAAAGCTCTGAGTAGATATTTTATGAATTTAAAAAACAAGCAGCAGTCTCGAAAGCCTCCGATTCTGGTGCAGTATCCTGTGAAGTGATTTAGTTCTCCCAAGACTTGATCGCTGCTTTGCTTTCCTCCCTTTGAAGGAGGAGAAGAGGAAGCCTCTGTTATTCCGCAATTGTACTTCTTTAAAATGTATTATCTGTTTGTGCACTTGGCAACGTCTTCCCCCTCTCCTTACCCTGGGTCTCTACCACTGCGAGGAAACCTGGAGCA